CAGCAGCAGCAACTGCTGCAGACAGACCCTTGCCACTGCCAGCAGCCGCCCTCTCAGCAGCAGCAATACGGCCTGTGGGGTGGTAGCCCGGGCCAAGCATTTCAGCAGCAGCAGCAGCAGCAGCAGCAGCAGCAGCAACAGCAGCAGCAGAGGCCACCGGTGTCTCGCTTGGTTTGTGATAGCAACTCAGCAGCAGCAGCAGCAGCAGCAGCAGCAGCAGCAAATACTCCATACAGTACTGACCCTGCTGTGCTGAAGCAGCAGCTGCTGCAGCGGCAGTCTGCTCTTATTCTAAGAAACGAGCAGCTGATTCAGGCGCTGCAGGGTCAGGCGGGTCTTCGCATGTCAGCTGCTGCTGCTGCTGCTGCTCCTGCTGCAGCAGCATCTGCTGCTGCTGCTGCTCCTGGGCCGCGACCTGTGGCCGTGGGGCCGCAGCAGCAGCGGCTGCTGCAGCTGCAGCAAGAGTCTGTTGCTGCAGCATCCAGGCAGCTAACTGCGCCTGCTGCTGCTCTCGCCTTCGATGGCTTCGACGCCAGGGCTGCTGAGGCCTCGCTGCAGCAGCAGCAGCAGCAGCAGCAGCAGCAACAGCAGCAGCAGCAAGTGAAGCACCACCAGCTTTCGTCCCCCTCTCTGCAGCGTCATTTGCTTCAGCGGCCGTTTCTGCAGCAGCAGCTGCTGCAGGATCCTGAGCAGCCTATTGCTGCTGCCACGCCCCTGCTGCAGCAGCAGCTGCTGCAGCAGCAACTGCTGCAGCAAGTCTCCTTGCAGCAGCGTGCAACCACCCCGGGGGGCGGCAGCAGCATGGGGATGTCCCCTCTGCAGCAGCAGCAGCAGCAGCAGCAGCAAGCGCAGCTGCAGCTGCGACTGGGGCCATGGGGCGTCGCTGCGGACCCCGTGGCCTCTACCCAGGGAGCTTCAGCAGCACTGCTGCTACAGCAGCAGCAGCAGCAGCAGCAGCAGCAGCCAGTGGTTGTGCGGGTGGAAAGCTGCTCTTGGTATCGCTGCGGGAGGCTGTCGCTGCTCTGCGGCAGCTGCAGCAGCAGCAACGTGAAATCTCCTTTGGCTCTGCGTGCTGCGCTGCAGCCGCTGCAGCAGGAGCTGCTGCTGCTGCCGTACGCGAGGGAGCAGCGTCAGCAGCAGCAGCTGCAGCAGCTGCAGCAGCTGCGGGAAGCCTCAGGAGCAGCAGCAGACACAGCAGCAGCAGCGGCATCAGCACCAGCAGAAGGAGCAGGAGAAGCAAAGACAGTCGCATCAGCATCAGCACCAGCAGCAGCAGCAGCAGCAACAGCAGCAACAGCAGCAACAAACAACCCCAAGGCAGCCGGCGGGGCAGACAGCAGCAGCTACCGGGGTGTAGTGACAGTGTGTGCTTTGTGTGGGTCCCTGACGAAGCGTCTCCCTTCTGCTGCAGCAGCAGCAGCAGGATCACGATCCCTCAGCATCAGCAGCAGCAGCAGCATCAGCAGCAACAGCAGCAACAAGAAACGCCCGCCTGTCTTTGTGCTGGACGGGCTTGAGGGGCTGTGCGCTGTCTGCTCAGCGCTTGCTGACGATACAGCAGCAGCAGCAGCAGCAGCAGCAGGCACAGCAGCAGTAGCAGGAGGAGCAGCAGCAACAGGTGCTGGCTCTGCTGCTGCTGCGTTTTCTCTGCAGCAGCAGCACAACAGCCTGCCGCAGCTGCTGTCTCGTGCTCGTGCTGCAACTGCGGTGTATACGCAGCTCCAGGCGCTGCTAGAGCGGACGCTGCTGCCGCTGATGGATGCCTCGCATATCAGCAGCAGAACCTCTACAGCAGCAGCAGCAGCAGCAGCAACAGCAGCAGCAGCAGCAGCAGCAAACCGGAGACAAATGGAGCAGACAGAGCTGCGGCTAGCCATCAGCGACCTCACAGGCCAGCTGCTGCGTGCGGTGCAGTGGGAGGAACCGAGCGCCCCGCAGCAACAGCAGCAGCAGCAGCAGCAGCAGCAGCAGCAGCAGCAGCAGCAGGACGAAGAGTATCGCAGACTATGCTTGGATCTGTTCGCGCTGCTGCAGGCCTCCGTGCGGCTGCCAGCAGAGCTGTGGGGCTTCGTCTCCTCAGCCTTGCTGCAGTGGAGACACCCCATCAAGAAGGAGCAGCAGCAGCGCGACCCCCAGGTAAGCTGCTGCTGCTGCTCCTGCTGCTGCTGCCGCTGCTGCTGCTGCGGCTACTGCTGCTCGTGGTGGTGGTGCTGCTGCTGCTGCTCCTGCTGCTGCAGATAGCCGCGACAGACAGGTGCAGCAGAAAGCTAGGTCAAGCAGACGGCTAGCTGCAGCACGCAGCTAGCTGCAGCACACAGCTAACTGCAGCAGACAGCTAGCTGCAGCAGACTGCTAGCTGCTGCAGACAGCTAGCTGCAGCAGACAGCTAGCTGCAGCAGCAACAAAGTTTTTTGTTTGTGTTGTTGTGCAGGTGCTGGTGACGCTGGCGCGGGCATGCGAGAAGCTGGCAGCAGGACGAAGCCAGTCACCAGAAGCTGCTGCTGCTCCTGCTGCTATTTCTGCTGCTGCTGCTGTTCCTGCTGCTGCTCCTGCTCCTGCTGCTGCTGCTGCTGCTGCNCTGCTGCTGCTGCTGCTGCTGCACCCCTGCAGGGATGCCTGCCCTGTGCTGCGGAGTGGCGGGAGCTGCGCCTCGTGCGGCGGCAGCTCTTCAGCAGGTTGCACCGTGCTGTCTGCAGCATGGAGCGCAGCAGCAGCAGCAGCAGCAGCAGCGGCAGCAGCAGCAGCAGCAGCAGCAGCGACTCGTCAGCAGTTCCTTCTCTGCTTGTGCGCCTGCTTGCCTTGCGGCTTCGCGGTGGCGACCCCAGGGTTTGCAGCTGCAGCAGGTGCAGCAGCAAGAGCCCGTTTGCTGCTGCTTGTGACTGTGCTGCAGCAGCAGCAGCAGCAGCAGGTGCAGCAGCAGCAGGAACAGCTGACAGACGCTGCTGCATGCTCTGCGGTGCAGCAGGCGATCGAGTCGTGTGTGGGGCCCTGCTGCCGCTGCTTGATGGATGGGTTCACTCTGGCTGCTGCGCCTGGGGTGTACATGCATGCGCTGCTCTCCCGCTGCTGTCTCCAGAGCTGCTGCAGCTAGCAGATCCCTTTGCTGCGCTGGCGGCCCAGCAGCAGCAGCAGCTACAGCAGCAGCAGCAGCAGCAGCAGCAGCAGCAAGCCCAAGATGCCCGCCGCCCGTATCCGTTGATGCGCGAACTGGAGGCTGCAGCAGCAGCACCTGCAGCAGCAGCAGCAGCAGATCGCAAGACATTCAACAACAGCAGCAGCAGCAACAGCAGCAGCAGCAGCAGCAGCAGCAGATTCAAAGGGCGCGTGCGGTCTTTCGCAGCTTTGCCTGAGCAGCTGCCCCCCCTGGAGTGTTCTGCAGATGCGCTGCTTGCTGCTGCTGCTGCTGCGCGCTGCAGCCGCTGCGCTGCATGCGGCCACAACGGTGCCTTTGTAGCCTGCAGCGGCTCGCAGCAGCCAGCAGCAGCAGCAGGAGCAGCAACAGCAGCAGCAGCAGCAGCAGCAGGGAGGCTTTGCAACACCCGATACCACCTAACGTGCTTGCTGCTGGCAGCAGTAGGACAGGCGCCTCTGCAGCAGCAGCAGCAACAGCAGCAGCAGCAGCAGCAGCAACAGCAGCACCCAACAGCAGCTGCTTCTCGACCCCGAGTCTTTGCAACGCTCCGTCGGTTTTGGTGTCAGGACTGCTGCGACAGGGGCCGTGCTGCAGCAGCAGCAGCAGCTGCTGCTGCTGCTGGGTCTGCTACGCTGAGTGTTTCTGACGATCCAGCAGCAGCAGCAGCAGCAGCAGCAACAACAACTCTAGAGGAAGCAGCAGCAGAAGACCCACTTTTTGTGTTCTTGGAGGGGGTTGGGGGCGGAGCTGCTGCTGTCTTGCTGCGGCTGCTGCTGCAGAGCGTGCGCATCAAGCCTCCTGCTTATGGTGCAGCAGCAGCAGCAGCTGCAGCAGCAGCAGCAGCAGCTGATGTAGACATACACCCTCTTGGTGCTGCGCTTAAGCAACTACCAGCAGCAGCTGCAGCAGAAGAGGAAGCAGCAGCAGCAGGCGACGGTTCTGCAGCAGCAGCAGCAGCAGCAGCAGCAGAAGCAGTTGTGCTGCTGCAGCAACTTATCGCGGATGCGCATGCAGCACTCTACGATGGCTGGTCTCTGCTGTCTCCTGAGCTGTCTCCTTTCGTTGGGGGTCGTTGTTCTGCTGCTTCGCTGCTTCCCTGCGGAGCAGCAGCAGCAGCAGCAGCAGCAGAAGCAGCAGCAGCAGCGGCAGCAGGGGCAGTTCCCCCGCAGCAGCAGCAGCAGCAGCAGAAGCAGCAGCAGCAGCAGCAGTTGTTAGGCCCAACCCCGTCTGCGCTGCTGCGGTATGGGGGCCTCACGCTGCTGTCTTTGGGGCTGCCGCTGCTCTTCGATGGCAGCAGCAGCAGCTTCGTGCCGATCGGCTACTGTGCTGCTCGCCGCTTCTGGCGTGCTGCAGCACCGAGACATCTGCACCATCCCTCCTGCAGCAGCAGCAGCAGCAGCAGCAGCAGCAGCAGCAGCAGNGCAGCAGCAGCAGCAGGAGGCTTGAGAGGGCGACGTATCTCTGCAGTATTACTGCGCGTAAGAGACGCCCATACTTCGTTTTAGATTGCCTTGCTGCGCCTGCTGCTGGAGCAGCAGCAGCAGCAGCAGCAGCAGCAAAAACAGCAACAGCAGCAGCAACAGCAAACGGCGCAGCAGCAACAGATACTTGCGCTGCCTGCCAGTGGGGCTGGCGCGTTGCAGAGGGATTCAATTTGCATGCAGTTGTACAGACGTTGCTGCAGCTGCTGCAGCAACAACAGCAGCAGCAACAGCAGCAGCAGCAGCAGCAGCAACAGCAGCAGGAAGAACAGGTCTCCGACTCTTCGGCAGCATGTGCCGACCCAAAAACAAATGGAGCGGATAGCAGCATCAGCAGCAGCAACTGCAGCAGCAGCAACAGCAGCAGCAGCAGCAACAGCAGCAGCAGCAGCAACAGCAGCAGCACAAACACAGTTGAGTCACCTGTGGCTGCTGCTGCTGCTCCTGCGCTTCCAAAGAGGGAGCCGCCCCCTACCCCGCGGGCTTCGCAGCAACAGCAACAGCAACAGCAGCAGCAGCAGCAGCAGCAGCAGCAGCAGCAGCAGCAGAACATGTGTGAAGAAGAGCAGCACGCAGCACAGCTGGATTTCTCCTCTATCCAGGCAGATGTCTTCTTCGGCCTGCGCTGCCGCTACCTGCAGCAGCGGCTGCAGGAGGTGACCTCGCTGCTGCTGGCGGACCGCGCGCTGCAGCAGCTGCAGCAAAGAGCAGCAGCAAGACAAAAGATTAAATCGTCAGCACGCACTCTAGAATCTAGGGTTTAGGGTTTAGGGTTTAGGGTTTAGACTCTAGGGGTTAGGGTTTAGGGTTTAGGGTTTAGGGTTTAGAGTTTAGGGTTTAGGGTTTAGAGTTTAGGGTTTAGGGTTTAGGGTTTAGGGTTTCTGTGTGT